TTAAAGCATCAGTCTGGAAACCAGTAGAATGAGTTCTAGTCCCACCTTAGGCATGAAAGCTGGGTGGTGACTGCGTCAATCACCAGAAGGTGGTGAGTTCTAGTCCCACCTTTAGACATGAAAGGTGACTGGGTCAATCACCAGAGACGGTGAGTCCTAGTCCTATCTTAGGCACAAAAACTGGCACATACTTGACATCAGCCGGTTCGCACCACTTCGGCAGAACCAGTAGCTAATTTTTTGTTGCCCAGGCCCAGAATGGACTTCTGGAAGCGACATCCCACACAGAGAACTGGCTGTTCACCTATTTGAATCCCACCACTGACATCAGATATTGTTGTATTCATATTTCCCAAAGCAGCAATTGAGTGTTTGGGGGATCCCTTAATATCCCCCATGAACTCAGATGCAAGGGCTAGGGGTTTTTTTGACAGATAGGGTGGTTTTAAGCACTGTTGCTTGGACCAACATTCATGGCTTGGGTGGGATTCACTGTCAGGAAACATCTAACCGTATCCCATTTTGCATGCTTGCAGCTTCCAACTTTCTCATGGTCTCCCCCGCTTTTTTCTTTTAAAATGTTTTACTGTTTTTGTATCTGACAGTTCAAGAATCTCAGCGGCCTCAACCAGCGTCGATGAAGCAATTTAGCCACTAGATAGGAGTCTTTGAGCATCTCTTCTGAGACTAGCAAAGAAACGGTGTCCTGTAAATCTCGTCACAAGAACGTGAAACTGTCACTTACTCTGTACCACCGTTAAAACAAGCACACCATTTCATCTGTCTTGACGTAAAAAAACGTGGCTTTTTTTGGAGCACGTGGAATCGCTGGCCACCCTGGTGATCTATTCGACCAACAGCAACCAAAAAATTAAATTCTGTGTTTACCAAAACGGGTTTAAGTTTGAGAAAACGATAGAAGGGTGACAGAAGTCCTTGAGGTTCCCAATTCTTTAGGTTTTAGACCCCAACACCCTTCTTTTCATTTTCCCCACCTGGATATCTTAAGTCTGTCTTGGTCACAAACCAACTTATGTTGTATTGGTGGAATTGGCAAAAATGACCTCCCGGCACTTCTCAGTTTAAAATCCAGCATTCTGCTCTGCTGTTTGTTGACAGTGTATTTATGGCACTCTTGTGAATATATATTTTCCTGTACGTTTGGACACGTCTGTATGTTCATTAAAAATAGTGAGCATTTTTCAGTGTTACTGTTTACCATTCCTGTAGAACAACCTCACATCTTCCATGGGAATTACTGGGAATGTGAGAGGGTTGATCAATCTTTGATCCGGCCTATCCCTCTAGAAAATACTTACAATTATTCCTGGGCTTCTTTCTGAAAGATTTGGAACATAACTAAGCTTACTCCAGAATAAATCATATTGACCACGGTAGGGTTTCTCAATAAGTACTGCATAAAATCCAGCGCTCTGCATTTCTGCCCTTTTTACTGAATGGATTTGATCCAAGATATAAGAGCCCCAAGGCTGTTTAGAAATTGAAAAAGCATTTGTGGTTCTGCTCTGCAGTTCAAATAAGCTTCAGTTTGCTTACATGGTGAAGAATTTTAGAACAGATGATAAATGTCTCTTGTCTATAATGATTCCAAAAGTTCTTTTGGCCTTAAGGTGATTGCTTTTTTACATGAAGAATTCACACCTACAATAGGAAGTGGATAAAGGCAAACATGCTAGTTATTTGTGAGTTGCTGTATTGGCAACGTTGCTAGCTAACTTCAAAAATGGATTTTCCCAGTTCTTTCCCCTGTATCGTAAATTGAGGGCCATTTTGTGAGTTTTTGTTTTGACTGGTTGGGTTTTCACAGAATAGAACAGAATAACAAGAGTTGGAAGGGACCTTGGAGGTCTTCTAGTCCATCGCCGTCCAGGCAGGAAACCCTATACCATTCCAGACAAGTGGCTGTCCAGTCTCTTAAACTCCAGTGATGGAGTGCCCACAATTTCTGGAGGCAAGCAGTTCCACTGGTTAATTGTTCTAACTGTCAGGAAGTTTCTCTTTAATTCCAGGTTGCTTGTGTCCTTGATTAGTTTCCATCCGTTGTTTCTTGTCCTGTCTTCAGGGGCTTTGGAAAATGTGTTGACCCCCTCTTCTTTGTGGCAGCCCCTCAAATATTGGAACTCTGCTATCATATCTCCCCTTTTAAGTAACTCCATGTGTCGTTCTTGGTTCTAGAGGCCTGACAGGAGAGTTGCTGTACCTTGGCAACCTCTGGATGGCCATTTATTTTCCACCCTTGCCAGTCCAGTATTTCTCAACCTTGGCAGCTGTCAGATGAGCGGATTTCAACTCTGCTCAATCCATGCTGGCTGGGGAATTCTGGGAGTTGAAGTCTACACACCTTGACATTTGCTGATACTGAGAAACAGCTTCAGCCTTACCAATTTTCCTGTCGGAGCTTAAAGCATTTGAAACCTGAAGCATTGCAAAGACAATCCCTGCCCACCTCAAGTCTTGAACCCCGGGCCCCAAATTTGCATCCACAATTCTGCTGCATTTTGAGGTCCCCACCCCAACCCCCCCCCCCGCTTGACGAAAGAAATGGTAAGAGGCAACTCTGAAGCAGTGGTGATGCTGTGGCTAATTTAATATCAGGCTCAGAATTGTGTTTTGTTTTTGCAGATGGCCTTGGGAAGAAGGGCATAGGAATTCTGGGGAAAATCATCCGTTACAAAACGTTTGGGTGCTTTCGCTGCAGCTCTTGAATCCCGCAGTCTGTGGCCTCTTATCCCACCCCACCCCTCCCCTCCCAATACATTGGCGTTAAAATAGGACTTCAACTGGACTTGGAGCTGAGCTAGAACATCGGCCGTCCCCTTCCGTTCACGTTTCCTCTCCCGGCTTGGAAACGTCTCTTTTCTCACACACAGGATCCCAAAACACGGTTATTTACACATACAGAGCACAAGAGAGAGGGTAAATATCTCCAGCATTATTGAGAGAGAGAGAGAGAAAAAAGAAAGGAACAAAGTAAAGAACACAAAAAAAAAAAAAACACTACCAATGGTACGACTATAAAAAGATAGCCCTTCTAAAAGTTATTCAATAAATAGTAAAACTAGAAAACCAATTGCTTTTGTTAAAAAAAGTTCAGCATAGGAAATCCAGGTGCTCCGTGGAAGCATTTCACCAAGATGAGCCCTTCCCAAGCTGGTGGTCTCCAGATCTACTGGGGCGTCAGATCACATCCTCCCTTGGCAGTGCGGACGAGTGGATTATGGGATCTGGAGCGGTGCATCCGGAGAGCACCAGCTTGGAGAAGATTGCCTTGACTAATTGTATCGGGAAAGGAGGGAGGGGGTGGGATGTGGGGAGAAGAGGGGGCTTTTCAAGGAGGAAAGCAGAGACCTCCTTCAACAGAGTCCTTCAACGCACGGAAAGACATTTCCTCCGCTGTGCTTCTGTCCGAAGGCCAAGCCGTGGTCAAGGTGCCAGGCTAAAAATGGACCATCTTTTGGACTATCCAGAAGAGAAAAAGAAGCCGGGAATTGGAAGAGGGGGGGGGCTTCTGGAAGCGAGCAATTGATTGTCTCCTGCCAATCAAAAGAAGGTTTGGACTGACCGGTGGGCCCACAGCTTTTTTTGGCCTTGGGGACTGAGAAAGGAGGGAGTGGTCAGCACTAGCCCCTTGGCCAGGCCTCGGGGGTGGTTTGTTGGGGGGTAGAGGTAGGAGTTACACTTGAGGAGAGGCAAAACTTTCCGACTGGAATGTGACGAGGTCTTCCAGCCACCCCCTGCTCAAGGAGGCCACCCCAAACTACTTCCTCTCTCGCAATCACCGGCTTCCACGTTGTGCTGAGGCAATGGTTGGCATGAACCACGGTTGGTTGAATAAGCCACATGGGACTGAGTTTACCTGCTAAGCTGTAAATCCCGCTTGGCAAACTCGGTGGCTGGGTTCACCCCACACGCTAAGCCCAAACCAAAGGAGGCTTGCGGCGAACCCAGTCAATATCTCCTCCCTTCGGGAACCACCTGGGTCTGGCTCGCGGGAACAGACCTCCAACAGAGCACCCGTGTTTGAAAGGGAGGGCCATCCCGCCCCTCTTTCCCCGCAGCTCACAATCTGCCCCCCAATAGCCCCGAGGAACAGCTTTGGGGCATAGGAAACAGAACCGGCTCCGCCAAGGCCTCAAGCGCCCCCCCCTCCTCTACCCGCTTGTCCTGAGCTGGCAGCCCCACGGAGAGAGCACAGCCGGAAGGAAAGTTGTGCTACCGTTGCCGCTGGAGAGGAAGCTGGCTTCTCCAGGCAGAGCTGAAGGGTCTGTGAGGAAGCATTGGTGCGCAAGTTGCGTTTCCGAGAAGGGCAGGCAGAGGCCTGGCAAAGGTCCCCGGGGATGCCTTTTGTGGCTCTGCTCTCCCCTGCAGGGTTGTTGTGCCAAAGACAGGGTTTATTTGGAGCCTCCCAAAGACCTGGTTTAGGTCTGCAGCATGGATCGGCAGAGGAATGAGCTGGCAGCCCCTCTTCCGGCCCCGCAACCCCTCGGGGTCCATCCTTCGGCTGCCAAGTGACGTGGGAAGACTTCGCTCTGCCCCTGTCCAAGGCGCTGGCCCCGGGTGAGAAAGGAAGACGCCCCCCCGGGATCCAGCCCTCCCCCCCCCTGACAGTCTAAAGTTCTTGCCTTGATGGCCATCAAGAGAGGTCCGTTCCGGTGAGACCCCTCTCTGGATATATAGGATATGCATAAACAATACAATATATTGAAAATAGTTGTAATAATATATAGCTAGTCCTTCTCAGAAGATCTGGATGCCCGCTCACATCCTGGGCCAAGCAGGGCTCGCTGGCCAGACCGTCCACAGCGCCTGGATCTAGAACGTTCGTGTTTGATGCGCCTGGGGCAAAGCCTGCTCCGTTTCCCTGCAGCAAAATGGCGTCCCTGGGCCTTTCGTGGAAGGGCAGAAGCAGGTGAAAAACCCTCGGTTCCTTTGCCCGAGTTGGCATCCCAACGGCTTTCCTCTCTGGGCATTGAGCGGCCTCACTGGGTAGCCGAGGTGGCGTCTTTGCTGTCACTCTTCCCACTCTTGGAAGCGTTCGGCTTCAGTAAGATTAAGCGGTTCAGGAGATCAGTCTCTGAGCTGGCCTGGGGACCGGGGTAGGTGTCACCTGTGGGCAAAGGGAGATTTTTGTCTGGTTCAAGTCCCGAGTTCTTTCTTTGTTTTTTTTCTATCAGAAACACCTACAAATTAGGGACGTTGAGGATAGTCCTCAACTTACAACAGTTCAATCTAGTGACCAAAGTTACGATGACACTGAAAAAAGTGACTTACGACCATTTTCACACACTTAGGACTGTTGCCGCATCCCCAAGGTCAAGGGATCAAAATCCAGACGCTTGGCAACTCGTTCCTATTTACGACGGTTGCAGTGTCCCTGGGGGTCATGTGATCAACTTTTGCGAACGTCTGACAAGCAAAGTCAATGGGGAAGCCAGAGTCACTTAACAACCGTGCCACTAATTTAACAATGGCAGTGATTCACTTAACAAATGTCTCACTTAGCAACATAAATTTGGGGCTCAATTGTGGCCGTAAGTTGAGGACGACCTGCATAACATTCAACACTGAGCGAATAAAACAGGTATAAAACAGACCACAGGACTGCAGCACGTGTAAAAAGTGAGTAAAATAACTAGGATTAAAACTAGATGAGATTCATCCAGTAGAGTAAGGGGGAGTGGAATGGAATGGAATGGAACAGAATACAGAAAAGATAAATTCCCAGGAAAAACTTGAAAGGACTTTGTCTGTTCATGATATCTGACTTAAAAGCAGCTCTTCTGAATCTGCCACATTAGCAGCTGCGGCACTTGATCGAGTTTATTTGAGCTCTGAAACAAGCAGGATTGGACCCCGTTAGAATGCCAAAATAACCCCACAGCTGGTGGAGAAGTAGAAAAAACATCCAGCAAGAAAATGCCAACCAATGTAGAGCTGTCAGGAAAATAAGATTGGAACTCAACTCAAAACTTTTTTCAGAGTTAACAAACACACAAAGGCCCCTTGCGTCTTGATAAGAGTTATCTATTTCTGCCATGTGGCCTGTTGCTCCAGCCTCACCCCCCCCCCCTCAATGCGGTCTCCAAGAGATTATCCTAGTTCTTAACAAAAAACAGACTGTCCACTTCTATTTCAGAACTGGAGCTGTATTTAATCCAAGCAAGCTTAAACTCGGTTACTGATGACTGACCCCGCTTGCCTTGGCTGGAAGTGGGTTCCAAAAGCTACTCTTTCTGTGAAGCCGTACTTTCTATCGTGACTTTTGAACTTCTCTCCTGTTAGTTTGAGGTTATGCCCCCTTGTTCTGCCTTCATTTAATAATTTAAATTATATGCAAGACTGACTGTTCCTACTGCTGATGTGAATTCTTTTATAGCTGCTTTATTATGACCACTATCAACTATTATCAGACGTGGGCAACCTTGGATTCTTTGCTGTTGCATTTGAGTATTATAAATATCTACATAATTCCCCTTGGGAGCTTTAGAGAAGCCATCGGAGAGAGCATCACCAATTGCTTCCAACAGAGATAGAGAACGACTCTGAATGAAGGAGCATTTCAAATAAATGAATTCACTGGACAGGATCCAGACAAAATTGAGCCTTGCTTTCTTAGCTCCAGAGACAAAATGGAAAGATGCAATCTGGAAATTGATAGGGAGTTTAAAAGGGCCTAACTCCATTTGCACTGAGCCCCTGTATATTAATACGGAAATGGAACACAGAAGGCAGAATGATTGACTGCAGAATATCATCTTAATGTTGCATTAAATTAAAGCTGTCCTGTCAGGTTGCTTATATTTAGCAGTGTACCAATCCAGAACAAGCTTTTCACGTCCAAGAAGGATGTAAGAGCAGTCAAAGAACAGAACATCAGAGTTGGAAGGAACTTTGGAGGTCTTGTAGTCCAACCCCCTGGTCAAGCAGGAGACCCTATACAGTTTCAGACAAGTGGCTTTCCAGTCTCTTCTTAAAAGCTTCCAGTGATGAAGCACCCACAACTTCTGAAAGCAAGTTGTTCCACTGGTTGATTGTTCTTACAATCAGGAAATTTCTCCTTACTTCTAGGTTGTTTCTCTCTTCGTTCAGTTTCCATCCATTGCTCCTTGTCTTGGCTTCTGGTGTTTTGGTAAATAGGTTGACCCCCTCTTCTTGGTGGCAGCTCCTCAAATACTGGAACACTGCTATCATGTCACTGCTAATCCTACTCTTAGACTAGACCAGGGGTAGGCAACCTCGGCTCTTTTATGCTGACTCAGGAATTCTGGGAGTTGAAGTCCATGAGTCATAAAAGAGCCGAGGTTGCCTACCCCTGGACTAGACATACCCAGTTCCTGCAACCATTCATCATGTTTTAGCCTCCAGCCCACTAATCATCTTTGTTGCTCTTCTCTGCACCCCTTCTGTAGAGTCTCAACATCTGCTTTGTATCACGGTGACCGAAACTGTATGCAGTATTCCAAGTGTGGCCTCACTAGTGCAGTATAAAATGGTACTAACACTTCACATGATCTTGAAACTATCTGTCAGGACTACCATCTTTAGCTTGTTCACTTTGCTGAACTCCTGCCATAAATCTCAGGGGAGGAGGGAAGGAAATTGGGGTATGGGAAGGAGAAGAAAAACGGTGGAAGGGGAGACCCGTTGTCAAAAACCAGAAGTGCCAAACCAGAGTTGCCAAAAAATAAGCCAACCATCCAGGACACCTGGCCTGGGAAAAGAACGCAACACTGCATCAAGAGGCGCCAAACCTCCAAGCAGTTCCCAAAACATCACAATGGCATGCTATTGAAGACTGATGGACCGGTCAAAAGGGGGGGGGGAGGGAACAGGGAAAAAGTTATAATCTTTGTGTGAGAATATTCAGATCTAGCTTTATTTTTGCTGCAACCCACTTAACTCTAGTAACAGCACCTATCGCTTCAGCCGAATGGAGTCAAGGGTCTTTCTTTCTTAGAGACCGAAGTTGGGGCAGGTCTGACATTATCCCTCGGCTGAACGGGACAAGATGCGCACTCACCCCCGTAGCTGGAAGACTCGGCAATGTTCTGTGAGCCGGTGATGTGATGCCAGTAAGCACTGCGTGGCAACATGGTGGTAGGTGTGCAGGGATAGGAGTAATGCTCTGTCCCCTTGTTCAACAACTGGAAAAGAACAAAGAGCTGGAGGTCAGCTTCCAAAATCTGAACTGTTTTAAGGTTGTTTTTTTTACTGGTTTTAGTTTTTAAAATGTTTTTAAAATATATTTTCTGAGCTGTAAGCTGCCCAGAGTCATTGATTGAGATAGGTGGCCATAGAAAATGAATGAATGAATGAATGAATGAATGAATGAATGAATGAATGAATCTGCAGAGGGGAGCACTCAGTAAAAGGGCTGTGTACAATGGGAAAGAGAATCCGTGTGAAAATACTTCAGAGATCCCTTGAAGAAGCCTTATTTATCTCTGTTGGTCTGGCACAAAGGGGCCACTTTATGAATTAATTTAATTAAAATGTGGTTGAAACAGCAATGTTACTTTCATTCCTCTCCTCCCAACCATATCCAGCAGTCAAAATGCTTTGCTATCCTGCATGCTCTGCTGCAGCGTTTCTTTTCCAAATTTGGCACCTTTGAGATGGGTGGACTTCAATTCCCAGAATCCCCTCGCCAGCCAGAAGCCCACCCATCTTAAAGTGGCCAAGATTGAACCACACAGGTCTACAGGAAACTGCGCTGACGCCACCCCATGTAATCTCATGAAACTTCCCCCTTTCTCATTCACGGCATGGGTTTTTTTTGGTTTCCGTCTCCCCCTTGGAAAACATCGGTCTAAAAAAGAAAGCAAGCAGGATACCATCTCACTTTGGATCAACCTCCAAGCTGTAATTGTGGTTTGCAGATCTTGGACTGGGAAAAAGAGGCAAACATCTGGCCCTCTTGCTACAATCAGTGTTTGGGAAAGCTTTTCAAGTGGGTGTCTGGAATGTTACACTAAACAGTCTGGATACAAAGAGATATGGGCTTCTCTAATGTGGACAATCCTGAGGTTTCAGATAATGGAAGGCTCTGGTTTTTATAGTGCCTTAATCTAGGCTTAAGGGCTGTGCACAGTTCCAAAATAATTCAGGTTTTATTTTATTTTTTGCTTTGAGGTGGTGCTAAACACTCACCTCCCCCTTTGCCATTCTAGCGACATCACAACCACGATCTCACTCCACGGAGTCCACAAACAGGGCCCCAAACCACTCGACAAAAAAGCTAAACAAAGCCAATCTAATGTATTTACTTAGTTTCCCCGTTCCATATGAGCTTCTAATTGCTGCTGTTAGGCACGACAGGTGAGTTAAGATATTTATATAAATTAATGATGTTAGACCAGTTTCTCAACCATGGTGACTTCAACCCCCAGCATGGCTGGTTGGGGAGTTCTGGAAGTTGAAGTCCACCAGTTCAAAGTTTCTAAGGTTAAGAAACATGGAGTTAGACCAGGGGTAGTCAACCTTGGCTCTTTTATGACTCGTGGACTTCAACTCCCAGAATTCCTGAGCCAGCCATGCTGGCTCAGGAATTCTGGGAGTTAAAGTCCACGAGTCATAAAAGAGCCAAGGTTGACTACCCCTGAGTTAGACAAATGACACCGAGCATCTCCATGATACTTGAAAGAGGTCTCAAGAATCAACCTTCCTTCCGGCTCAGACCCTCCCCTTTCCCATTTCTCTTGTGAGCTGTAGACTAAATTTATACAGCTCAGTTTTTCAAGAGACCAATAATTTCCAGACGGCGACTTCCCACCTCTAAAGAAAAATACTTTCTACAACTTGCCGGGCTTCCCAAAGCCAGCAGGGACCAGAAGAAACTCAAGTGTTTCTTAAGCTGGCGGAATTCAGCTCCCAGAATTGCTGGCTGGGGAATTCTGGGAGTTGAAGTCCACATAGTTCAAAATGGCTAAGGAGTTGAATTCCACCTAGTTTAAAGTTTCCAGGTTTGAGAAGCTGATCATTAATTGATCCCCAGATGTTTGGAAGATGCCTAGCAGAGGGCTCAAAAGCCGAACAATGTCTGCCTTCCCCTCCACTGGCAGGCAGCGACACTCACTCTCACGTTCTTCTCCATCTCCATCAGGACGCGCTTGTGCTGCTCGGCAATGGTCAAAGTGGCGCTGTGCACTCTCTGATAGATCTCTTCTCCCTCCTGGGTCTGGAAGGTGTACAGCCCTTCGCCTGCGTCACACATCCTGCTAAGCAACAAAAAAATATCCAGAGATCAAGACGGAGACTGCAGCAAAAGGGGCCTGTGCTCTCTCCCCCACCCCTGGATACGTGGACTCGTGGGCGCCCTTCTCTTTTTGTCAGGACACCTGGTGCATCTTCCAAGCCAGGAGACCCTAGTAGATTTAGCCTACCCGCCACTCACATCACTGTCCCCCAAGCCTAGATTGGTCACAGCATGATTGTGCCAATACTTTATTAATCATCGATCAAACCGGTCAGTCCTAGAGGAGATCCACCCTGACTGCTCTTTAGAAGGCCAGATACTGAAGTTGAAACTCAAGTACTTTGGCCACCTAATGAGAAGGAAGGACTCACTGGAGAAGAGCCTAATGCTGGGGAAGATGGAGGGCAATAGAAGAAGGGGACGACAGAGAATGAGGTGACTGGATGGGGTCACTGAAGCAGCAGGCGTGAGCTTCAATGGACTCCAGAAGATGGTAGAGGACAGGAAGGCCTGGAGGAACGTTGTCCATGGGGTCGCGATGGGTCAGACACGACTTCACAACTAACAATAACAAAGAACTAAAAGCAGATTACAAATAAAGTTAGATTTGCAAACTGTGGGGTGGAGTAGCCAGCAATCACAGGGGTACAGAGAGTGAAATAAGAGTTATGCGTGGTCCAACTGAGGAGGTGGTAATTGATTCTTCATTGCACGGGGTTAAGCTTTTAAACAGATCCCAGATTTGTCCTTTCAAGGTCTGAAACCCTCCCAGAAGAGCGAAGGAGGAGAGAAATGGAACCTGCCTTTGCGTGGAGGTTTTTGCCTCTGGCTGGGGGGGGGGGGAGAAAGTATTATTCCTTTGCTTTCTCTGCCAGCAAAACAGTTTTATCCTTAGAACAGAGTCCCACTGCCTCAGAGCAGGGCGTGGTGATGCTGGAAAAATCCTCTAATCATGGTATAAAAAGCCAGGCTAAGTGAGTCAAGGAAGTCTGGAATAAAAGGGAAAGATCCTATTTCTTGCCTTTGTAGATGGCAATTAGCCGGAGGACTCACAGGTGCAGGCGGGGAAGAGTCTAATCTGGCGCTTCACAACCTTAGCAACAACTTCAGGATGTATGGACTTCAACTCCCAGAATCCCGGGAGTTGAAAACCACACATCTTAAAAGTTGCCAAGGTTGAGAAATACTAATCCAAATCAACTTGCAAAAATTAACAACCGTGGCCTATAAAAAGAGAAGGTCCTGGAAGTGGGGATTTGGCCTCGTACGGATGAGACTGAAACTTTGGGCCAACCACCAGGAGACAGCGAGTTCTAGTTTAGTCCCGACTTAGGCACGAAAGCTGGCTGGATGACTTTGGGCCAACCACCGGGATCCAGTGAGTTCTAGCCCCACCTCGGGCATGAATTTTCCACGGCTCCTTTATAGCCTTGAAGCAACCATGTAAAACAGGCTTGAGCCAAGAGAAGGACTGCTTCCAAGTCATCTACAGATCTTCTGCGTCCTATCCAGGACGCAGGACTTGGAAAGCCATACTTTCACGCACCCTGCAGGTACTTCACCTCACCCTGCACGCCAACATCTTCAAGATGACCTGCCTTCTGGGCCAAAGGAAGATCTGCCACACAGGGACCAACCCCCCCCAACACAAACACACACACACACTCCAAGAGGAGTCAGCTGCAGACATACCGGCCAGCCTCAAAGGTGAAGCGCGTGGCATCTCGTCCGTAGCGGCGCAGGGAACACAAGGGCCAAGAGACGAGCTTGACCCGGGGATTGTGCATATCCCAGAGGTAAATGTTTTCATGGGTGATCTGCAGCTTGCATTCGCCATAGATGTCCAGGTTGGGGCAGGGCAGGAGGAAGACGTTAAACCGGTCTGCAGAAGGAGAGGCACAAACGGCTCAGGACCCCCCAGTGCTCCCTCATCCGTCTTCCACCCAACGCTTGCCCTGAGCAACAGCGAAATCCTCCACCCTTCCATTTCTCAGACTCCAAGTGTGGAGTTGTACCTTCACAAGACCCATCACAAGACTCTCATTGATGACCCACACCTGACCCATCACAAGACCCTCACTTGACCCACCCACACCTCCAGCTTTTTTCCGTAGTTTAAAGGAATAGTGAATATTTAAATTAACATAAACTACTAATAGTCAACACTAAAAAAAGCCCAATATTCATATTATTTTCTTTTCCCAATTTTAATCTAACATGTCATTGTCAAATATGAATAATCATATATTTTTAAAACATCTAACCTTAACCCTAACCCCAGTATTTCTCTCATCAAATCAGATGGAATCCTTATATCCCAAAATCAAAAGTTGATCCACCATGGATGGCCTTCAAAAGTAGGTGGGGAGGGGGGAGGGGAGGGAGGATTGGCACCCAAGAAACCTTTAGGTGGACAAAAGCAAACTTCACATTTCGTTTTACTTTAGCCCAAATGGCATTAAATGCAATGAACAGGATGGCTCCACTCCTTATATAATGTTCCCCTTCTAGACAGGGGGAACATTGAAAATGACAGTTTGGGGATGGCAGGCCTGCAGGCTGCATCAAACCCAAAGAGTGCACGTAGCCCCGAATCCTTGGGGCCTGCCTCCTAGGTTTGGACTGGGCAAGGAAGGGCACCTGCCTTACCTGTTTGCTCACACTGAACTCCAGGCGCCAGCAGATCTGGCTCGCCAAGGCTGATGTCGTTGAGCCGTGCCCCCAGGCATTCAACGGACAGTGTTTTGTACCATTCCTCGGCTTCCAGCTCTGCAAAGACAACAGATGTCCTTTGTCGGCAAACAGCATTCAGGCTCATGGTTATTCAACGCATCCCCACCCGATCCCATCCGGCTTTCTCAGCCGTCGCCCCAAAGCGACTAGAAATTCTGCCGTTCCAGCAGCAGCCTCTACCTGATTCACAGGTGAACGTCCGAGCTGAGTCGTCCATAAATATGATGGCTACAGCTTGCCGTTTGGTCTCCTTGGGCAGCCTCGTGATACATTTCACGTTGCTGATCTCTGTGACCTGGAGGAGAAGCCAGATTCTGTATGAAAGCTCCTTTTTATTTTTTTGAGGTACCTCCCAGCATGTTCTACCACTGCTTGCCCTAACTTGGTGCCCCCCCCAGCTGTATTAGGACTGGGGATGCTCATCTGGAGAAGAAGGTTGCCATTATGACTTCAGTTCCAGCCCAAAGAAAAGGATAAACAGTTTAGTTATGCTTGGCTTCTTGGACCATTATCCAAGGACATCCAAAGGGCACGGGTAGAAGGGATGATAGACGCTGGGATAAACCACTGGAACTAGATTTCTTTATTTTCAGCTATTCCAGCTTTCGAATTTGAGTGAGTTTGAAAACCATTGATTGTTTCAGAGTTACCAGCCTTGGCTGAGTTTGGAGTGAATATCTGGTTGACCTTGGATGATTTTCAAAAGCTAGGCAATGGATGGATCCACTTAGTACTTGGATGGGAGATCAGGCTGGGTTCCAGAAGGCGGTGCCCAATCACTTCCCGGTTTTGTGCTCTCAAAGCCACCAGGAACAACTCTGGCACTTAGGATCTCCTTAAGGCAAGTGAGTCTGGGGCCATTTTGGCCAGAAGGGCCTTAGGCTGGACTGGAGAGAAATCCTCAAGTTCATGGGGCAGGGAACCACAGACTTGGCTCCGTTTTCTAGGAGGCTGAGGGCTTGGGATGCACAGAGTTTGGGTCAAAGGCAGGTGGCCAAGACAACGGACCAAGAGCTCTGGAAGTCACCAAAGAAGCCAGCACACACGGGCAGTGAGAAGGGATATTATGAAAGGACCATTCCCTGTAACATATAAACAAGGTTATTTTTGCTCCAATGGTTCCCTTGGGCGAGTATGTTTTTCCAGCCGGCACCGTCACACGAACCTCAATGGTGCCCCAGGGAAGCATTGAATGGTAATGAGAATGTCACCGAATGAGGCAATGATGCTGAATTGGAGCAGGCAAATTGCAAATTGGCTCTGAGGAGGAGTCTGCCTGCTCCTACCATTCTCAGAAGGGGGCAGGGGCACTCCCCAATACCCTCCATCAATGTCCCCCAACCTGGAGCCTTCCATCAATTAGAATAGAGCTGGAAGGGACCTTGGAGGTCCTCTAAGCCAACCCCTTGCTCAAGCAGAAGATCCTATACCTTTTCAGACAAGTGGCTGTCTAGTCTCTTCTTAAAAACCTCCAGTGACGAAGCTCCCACATCTTTGGAGGCCAAGATGTTCCAATGGTTAATTGTCCTCCCTGTTAGGAAGTTTCTCCTTAATTCCAGGTTGCTTCTCTCCTTGATTAGTTTCCATCCATTGTTTCTTGTCTTGTCTTCTGGTGCTTTGGAAAATAAGCTGACCCCCTCCTCTTCTTTGTGGTGGCCCCTCAAATACTCGAACAGTTATCATGTCCCCACAGTCCTTCTTTTCTCTAGACTAGCCATACCCAATTCCCACAAGCTTTTTCATATGTTTTAATCTCCAGGCCTTTAGTCATCTCAGTTGCTTTTCTCTGCACTTTTTCCAAAGTCTCAGCATCTTGTCTGTAATGTGGTGACCAAAACTGGATGTAGTATTCCAGATGTGGCCTTACTAAAGCTTCATAAAGTTAATACGAATTATTCCAGATATGTTTGGATGATACTGCTGGTGAGGTATAGTCCTAAGACATCTGGAAGGAAGTTGGAAATGGCTGTTCTAGATCACGCAAGTTGGCGAGGATCTTACCTTTGGGCACCCACGTAAACACACTGACTTCTCATCTGGGTATTTTTCCAACCTCTGGGGACCTTTGCTGGAAGATTTCCGAAACACCAGCCAGCAACGGCGGTAAATCTGAGTCAAAGAGAGAAAGGGGAGGGAGAAGGAGGAAAGAGGATGTGTTTATATAAGCAAGGTACAACTCAAGAAAGCAATGTCCCACCTGCCATCTTGCAGAGTTGGACATATATCAGGAATATATTTGCATTATGCATCTACAAAGAGATTCTGACGTGGCCATATGTTGGGTGTTCCAACATCTTCAAGTGCCCTAAATATTAAGTGTGCTTTGATGCATATGATTGTGAATCATGCATAGGATTGACAAGCGTTGTGAATCCAAAGTCATTAATTTCACAGAATCTTTTTTGCACTAGTTTCATTTTCCAATTCACCTTCCCAGAATCTGGGGACGCTGTTACACCAGTGTTTCTCAACCTTGGTAACTTTAAGATGCGTGGGCTTCTCTTCCCAGAATTCCCCAGCCAGCATGGCTGGCTGCTGAATTCTGGGAGGTGAAGCCCACGTGTCTTAAAGTTGCCAAAGCTGAGAAAGACTTTCTAGCAATCTAGTCATTCCAGGAATATTGCATTACGATGCCCATCATCTGATAGCCTAGCTCAGAGGAAGGCATTTCTAAATGTTAACCATTCACTGAACTGACCACCACAGATAGCCAGTCTCTTGCCCTCTAATGACTAGTTTAATATCTAATTTTATACTATATCAGATTAAATAGCACTGAGATCCCTAAGTCAGGGCCAAGTCTCCAAAAGCCCAAAGGAAACTAAAGGATGGCATAGACAAGGCCAGACAGGCACCTCATGACATCAACAGCCAACCGAAGGGACTACATATTTGCACCAAATGTCATTATCCAACAGGTGCAAACTGTCCATTGCAATAAGCTCACGACGATGTGATGGCACTGAAGTTGTTAAGTTAGTAACACACTTGTTAAGTGAACCTGGCTTCCTCATTGACTTTGCCTGTCGGAAGGTTACAAAGAGGGATCACGTGACCCCGGGACGCTGCAACCGTCATCAATAGGAAGCAGTTGCCAAGTGCCTGAATTTTGATCACGTGACCCTGGGGAGGCTGCAACATTCAAAAGTGTGAGAAACGGTCATGAGTCACTTTTTTCAGTGCTGTTTGAACGATCACTAAGCAAACTTTTGTAAATCTAGGACTGCCTGTAGTCCAGAATGTGGGTGGAGGACATCAAGCTTCACAACAGGAATGGACAATCTTTTGGTGGTGAAGAGCCACCTTAGGGGTACAAGCACATCACACACGAGCATATTACACACTTGGAAGGGTGGCGTGACTCAAAAACAACAACACAAAAAACCCCCGGATAGGTCTGTTTGGCTTCAGTAGATGGCAGTATCTCTCCAACCTTGGTTGGTCTCGGAAGAGGTGGACCCAGTTGGTATTTGAAAGGGAGCTTCCCACGAAATCCCAGGGTTTAGGCTCCACCAGACGAAGATTATGGCAAGCCACAACTCCATCCCTCCCAAGAAAACTATTAGGATGCATCCATTAAGTCACCAGGTCAATTAGGACGAAGCCTTAAGGTCCATTTTAACTTTACCGTTTGGTAAACAGTATAGGATGCGCACCTCAAAATGCTGGGAAATGGCGCCAGACTAATCTCCGCTCCATAGTTACAATTTCTCCTTGTGGTTGTCCTAAAATCACATTTTGTGGATTTTTCATTTGCTTTTAAGGATGTCGCGTTTATACCCTTGTCCTTCTCTTGAAGCCGAAGGACACCTTTATGGGAAGGGTGTCTCCTAATTTTATTCTCCCCGGCAGCAACTTGGTGAGAAAGCATGGCGGTTCCCCAATTCCCGCAGCACCCTCTGTGCTTGAAGGGGGATTTTGAGAGGAGACCCTGTGGCCCATCTCCAACCTCATCCGCAGCACAAACGCTGCTTCTCATACGTGTAGCCGGCCTTTGTTTTCCTTCATTCAGAGAGAATTGATCCGTCACAGAAGGAAATCGTGGCACTTTCCTCGCAGTGCAAGCAGAAGGAATCGCCTGACTGACAGTGCCCTGGGACCATAAGCAGGATTTGGAGAGACCCCTGAAGGGCACGAAACAAAACCGAGAGGCTGCACCAGCAGGCTACAGATTAATCAGGATTGGGCCTTTGTTTTCTACCTCCAGAGCCAACCCTTTTCCCAGCTGGTGGCAGGCCCTTGGCAGAGGAAGGCAAACTTTTCCTGGGTGGGCTCAATCACCGACCAGAATGATGGAGTTATTCCTTCAGTTGGGTCCAACTCTTGGCAATTCTCTGAACCAGGCCCCTCCACATCTTCTGATCTTACGCTACTTCTTTGAGTTGTTCTATGCTCCAGCTGGTGCCTGTTTTGATAGTGTCCAGCCATTGTGTTCTTTGGTGGTCTGGCTTCCTTTTACCAGTAATTCTTCCAAGCATAATTTTTTCTTTAGATTTTATTGGCCAAATGTGTTGGTTGGACACACAAGGAATTTGTCTCCAGTGCATAATGGCTTTGTCCAGGGAATTCCACTCACCTGACATGGCCAAAATGAGTGAGACACAGCGTGCGGATTTTAGCCTGCCAGACACCCGCTCCCAACCTCCACTCGTTGACTTCTCTTTCCTAGACCAACTTTGGCTGCCTGGACGTGCTGACGCTTTCCATTTGCAGAGCTCCTTGAGTCTGTTTTATTCATAGGATGCTCGGTCCATTAGAGGAAGAAAGCAATTAGTGTACTGCAGAAGTGAAGGTTGCCAAGCTCAGGGCACGTGACCTGCAGCTTCGAAGTTTTCGCCTTCTTGGGGTCTCCAGAAGGAAGGTCAAAATTGCTGGGGGAAGGGGCAAATCCAGGCTGGGTGAGAAAGCCATCTGATCACCACACTTCAGGTAGTCCTCGGCTTACACCAGTTCATTTAGTGACCGTTCAAAGTTACAACGGCACTGAAAAAAGTGGCTTATGACCGTTTTTCGTACTTACGGAAGGTTAAAGGTCGTAAAATGGGGCAAAGCTCCCTTAACAAATGTCTCACTTAACAACAGAATTTTTGCACTCAGTTGTGGTCATAAGTCAAGGACTACCTGTAGTCAGAAGGCAGCACCATGGAATCACTAGGCTTACGTTGGACTTCTCCATCCTGGTGTCCCCAAATGCATTTTGGGAGTTGAAGTCCACCCATCTGAAACTTGCCACGCTTGAGAAACACCGCTCTATATAATAACTGAAGCAAATTAAAGCTTAGACTGGAACAGATGTTCCCCTTCATATCCAGACGACCAATTATTTGCGGGGGGGAAAGCCAGCTTGATAGATCTGATATGGTGCTGAAAGAAAAATCATCAATTATCTGACTTGGCCTTCAAAAGTTGTAGGTGCTTCATCACTGGAGGCTTTTAAGAAAAGACTGGACAATCACCTATCTGAAATGGTATAGAGCAGGGGTAGTCAACCTTGGCTCTTTTATGACTCGTGGACTTCAACTCCCAGAATTCCTGAGCCAGCTAAGCTGGCTCAGGAATTCTGGGAGTTGAAGTCCACGAGTCATAAAAGAGCCAAGGTTGACTACCCCTGATATAGAGTCTCCTGCTTGAGCAGGGGGTTGGACTAGAAGACCTCCAAGGTCCCTTCCGGCTCTATCCTGATTGAATAGGAAGCCGTTCCTTCTCCAAAGCTCTGCCAGACATTAACCCAGTCCCTGGGGACAGCAATGTCTGCTTGCATGCAGCAGTGTTTCCGGCAAGCACACTCCCCCAGCCCAGCCAGCTCGGGTCCTTTGAAAAGACCCCCCTCTTAAAAGGAAACACCTTTCAACTAACCGTCTGCCAGCCAAGCCTCAATCAGGGACTTCAAAGGCCAGGCCAGCTGCCACCTGCCCAGCTCGCAGGAGCTTCCCAGAAGATGCTTCCCGTGGGATCCAGCAGCAACATGGTCCGTCCCTACGGAGGAGGTTTCCTTCCCTCTCCTTAGGAGCTAGCCACGGGGCTGGTTCAGCTTTAGGAGAGCGCTGGTTCAGCAAACAGAGTCTGGGAAAGAGCGCTCACAGCTCGGATATTGCCTACCTGGGTGAATAAAGAGTGAGCTGGGAGGACCCAAAAGAGATTTTGCCTTAGGTAAGCGGCCCTGGATGGCTCCACTCTCCCCCTCAACTCCCTTGGGAGCCTCTCTTCCTTAGCTACTCAGGAATTTCCATGGCTTAAGGAAAGGCCCAGCAACCTGTTTGGGCAGGGGGGGTCCCGTCTCCTGAGTTTGCAGGCACCCCCCAAAGCAGAGGCTAATTTACCTTGATTTTGCAAAGTGCTGCAAGATCGCAGGTGAAAATGCAGAGAGGGTTGTGCCATTTTGGGCCATCTCCCTGTCACTGGAGTAACAGAATAAGAGAGTTGGAAGGGACCTTGGAGGTCTTCTAGTCCAACCCCCTGCTCAGGCAGGAAACCCTATTACCAGGGGTCTTCAAACGTGGCCCTTTTATGACTGGTGGACTTCAACTCCCAGAATTCCACTGAGGGACAGCATAGGCACCGATGGATCTGGTCCTTCTTCCTACAGGTGATCCTTGACTTACAACTATCCTTTGAAGTTATAACGGCAGGGGAAAAAATGACTTGCAACTGGCCCTTGCAGTGGGATTGTGGCCGCATCCCTGTGATCAAAATTTGGGTGGTTGGCAACCAATGTGTACTTACAACTATTGCAACATCATGTGATCACAATTTGTGAGCTTCCTAGCTGGTTTCCAACAAACAAAGTCAATGGAACAAGCCGGATTTGCTTAACAACTACAGGATTCACTTAACAACCATGGCCAAAAAAGGTCATAAAATCAGACTCAACCAACGTAACAACTGACGTGTTTAGCAACAGAAATCCTGTTCCCAATTGTGATTGTAAGTCAAGGACTACTTGCACAATTGGCCTGGGCTTGCATCAAGACGTTGCGATTGTGTTTTACAAACAGGCCCTATAATGCTTGCCCCTCCGCGTCGCCTTCAGGTTTATTATCGCGACGTTTGTTAATATATAGTTTCAGGAAGAATAAAATGATTTTAGGATGTGATGCTAAATTATATGC